TACGGCACTGATTTGTGAAGATAGACCTTAACTTTTATTATTATTACTAATCGATTAAAACACATTATATGTACATACATATGTACTAGGGTTACAATTGCCGGCTAGATGAATTACGGATACTAATAAAGACAAAATTCTTCCCCTGAGAGGTTTTCCCATTTGAGTTTCAATACGGTTTCCCTTTAGCTTTGATGCAAAATTACTCATGAGGCGTCGCGAAGCACGCCGGGTATTTGCTAGTATTATATGTTCCTTACGTTTGTATGTTCCTTACGTTTTTATACATACATACAGTAAAAGTGTTAAGTTATCTATTAACGATTTAACTATAGTTTAAGATAGATAAGTCTACGGCCCTTAATATGCTTAATTTGTTAAATGGCCCATCAAGTCGATTGACCGTGTATGTTCTTGTGGTGTGATTGTACCAGCTGCTGGTGCGACTTCAAAGTCTATTTGAAAATTTTATGATTGTACCAGCATGCTGGTGTCGTGAGTGAAATTAGCTCAATTTTCTAAGTAAAAAGTATTTTGGCGGAAATTTCTTGCACTATATGAGCCAAAGCCGTGTTTGTGGAAGATTAAGTTCACGATATTGCAGTTGTGAATTGAAAAAAAAAAACAATGTTTAACAAAATGGTAGAAAAATTATGAAATTTCGGCTCTAATCATTTCGATCTTTCCTCGACCTCATTTGTAAAGAAATAAATATTGTACCAGCATGCTGGTAAGTTATATGCTTCGAGCCTGATGGTACAACCACTTGATGGAGTCAGCGAGCAGGTATCGTATATTTCCCCTTTTATACAAAAAGGTTTTTGGTTGGATAAAATATTAGCTTTTTCCAGAGTTCATTGTTTTTCTATACCATTACTTATTGAAAATGTTTGCGTGTATACTTATAGATGTATATGTAATTAAAAAATTTTAGCTACCATTTTTAGCCACAACGACTTTTCTTAGCTCTTTTTTAGCCCATTTTTAAAATGATTCGCGGCAACACTGCTCTGCAGACGAATCGTTCGTCCAGCCTATCGTTCGAGATAGATACTTAAGCCCGAAATACGATAACGCAGTGGCAGTGGCAGCGGCAGTTTTTGCGAAATCAGCTGGTTTTTAGAAAGTGTGTCCAATGAAGCCACTCACAATACAGCAGTAGCAGCTAGCAGTACTGCTCAGTTTAGCCCAAATTCTAAATTCACTGCCACTGGCTTCATCGCAGCAAACTTCGCATGTTGAATTTGACATTTATGAAACGCAGCCAGCTTCTGTTGATGTCACTGAAGCCTAAAAGCCAGCAACAAAAATGTAAACAAACAAAGGGGAATGTCAAAAAAGGCAGTCACTGACAACGCCGTATTGTGTTTGTTGCGGCAGTGACTGCCAATATTAGCAGTAACAGCTGATTTTAGAAACTGTCACTGCCACTGCCACTGGGCTATTGTATTTTGGGCTTTAGGCTATAAATCTCTCGTCGTTTTTCTTCTATGGGAAAATCGCAAATTCCTTATATTTTTATGACTGGCTCCTAAGGCTTCTTCCGACAAACACAATAGAATAAAATAATAATAAATAATAAAATTCTTAAAACATTTTCTAATTTCTCAATACCTTTTGACAAGTTGAAGTGTTCCAAAACATCACACCAATGTAACTGCGAAAACCTTATGAACCGTACTTGGCATGTAATACAGCCATATTGAACTAAATATGAGTTTCTAGTAATATTTAGGAGCTCCTTAAACGTTCTAACAAAGGACGGTAATCATTATGAGTAAAATTATTTAAATCAGCATTTAATAAAATTTTTATGACTTATTTTTTTTCGCTCAGAAATAATAATTGTTACTGAGTTCTATTTTTTCGCTCAACGAAAATAATTACACTGTGAGACAAATGGTAGGGGTCAGTGATCGGGAAGGGTTCAAACTACCGGGAAAAGTTATATCGGTAAAAAAGAAGTTATAATTGTCCCGGCGTTTCGCTGGGTCTCGTCTAGGAATCGAGATATATATATATAACTATCATATAGGGTAAATTGTCACCTTTGGTGGCCTTTTTTCGACATAACTCGAGAACCACTAGTCCGATTTCGCTCGAACAAATTTAAAAAAATTAAAAATTATAATTCCTTTAATCTGTTCATATAACGTTTTTCTATATAATCAACAGATTTAAAAAAATTTAATATTTTAGGCAAAAAATATTTTTTTTCTTCATACATTTATTTTTACCGGCAAAACTGTTGATTATATGTGTAAAAGTGACTAGTCGCTTTTTATACCCTTTCGGATATAAAGGTGAACAATTAGTCTCTTCATGCCCGACATGCTCGAACAAAAGGGATCAGTTCATTCCATATAAAGAGATCAAAAGTGGTATTAGTGGCATGTTCCTTTGCGATTGCTCCCGGAGTCATCCCGGATTAGTCCCATTTTTTGCAGGGTAGTCACTAAATTCCCTGCAAAAAATTTTGCGACTAATCTCTAAAGAGAGTATTCCGAGATTACTCTCAATCGGGTACAATTGGGCATTAATTAGTCCCAACTAGTCTCATACGGGTACTAATGGAGGTCAATTAGTCTCGACTTATCCCTTATGGGTATAATTGGAGATCAATTAGTCCTCAACTCATCTCTAACGGGTACTATTAACGATTTAATGATATGTACGCACTTAATCAATGAAATTTCATGTGCGGCGTTGGCACACTGATAGAGTATTCGCCTAATAAAACTGAGCACTCCCGTTCGAATCTCAGCTGGCGCAAATTTTTATTTTTATTTTTTAAAAGTGAATAGTCGCTCTTTATACCCGTTCGGGTATATAGGTGAACAATTAGTCTCTTCATAGGACATGCTCGAACAAAAGCGATCAGTTCATTCCATATAAAGAGATCAAAAGTGGTATTAGTCGCATACTCCTTTGCGATTGCTCCCGGATTAGTCCCATTTTTTGCAGGGTTACTACACACACACACACACATACACACAAACATACACACGCACACACAAATATTTGTGTGTACATACCCTGCAGGGAAACCGCGGACTAGTGAATCAAATTTCTAGTTCCGTACAAGGTCTTTATCGCCAAAAAGGAAATAGTCCGATAGGAACTAGATCTCCACCAGCCCAAAATCGGCGAAAAGTGGTACTTTTAAAAAATTAATTGTTTCAGTTTTTTTCACTAGAAATCTATATTTAAAGTGGCGAATTTAGAAATGGTTCAGAACTATAGAAAAGGGGATGCAGAACGAACTAGATCTTATTTGTCGAATTTAGAACTAGTTCGGAACTATCGAATAAGGGATGCAGCGAGGGGCTTGTTTACTTAACATAGATATGTGTTCGGCGGGTTTTTCGTTCAAATTCGCTTCTATTCTGTGCTTCGCAGATGCTTTTTCATAGCTTGGTAATACAAAACTAAAATTTATGTTAACATTACGTCATCTTGGGACCGTCCGGAATAAGAAATAACAGCGAGCACCTCTGCAAACTCAGCTACAGCTAAAGGTATGTAAACGTGCATTTCTTACAATCATTCAAACAAATTTAATTTCATATTGAAAACACATTTCTTCCAAAATAGCTTAAAATCACACACACGGAAGAACCCTAAAAATTGAAAAATCATGATACTTTTTTCTTTCGTCTGTCGATTTTAGACCTGGTTAGGACTAGTTCCGAACTATCGAAAAAGGGATGCAGCGGGGGGCAATTGACACTTCCTAGGACATCGCCATGTTAAATTCGCCAGTTGCTTGCATGCAAAAGAGATTTATCGCGAACCAGTACTGGGTCTAAATGTGCTAGAAGCGCACCAGTTCAGTACTAGAGATTTTCCCCACAGGGTTTACATATCTATACATACAAGGACGAATTTTTAGTATATATATATGTATGTATGTATATATACATGTGATATTGTGTATCTAAAAATATATACACTCTAAACCATTTTTGGCATATTTACGTCGATTATGGTAGGCAACACATTACCGACTGTAAATGTCTAAAATTACACAACTATTATTTTAAACATCTTTTGTAGCATTTTACGCAATAAATGTTCAAAGGTTAAGACACTAGATGCCTAATAGTTTATACACTAGATGTTTATATTTACACGCTAAGTGCTTATATTTTACGAACTAGATGCTTAGTTTTCCGTAAATAATAGGCAAAATCTTGTTTAATTCTCTCTTCAATTAAAATATTTATTTATTTCATTTATAATACTTACAGCAGCGGTCAAAATAATAGCAGTAAAATTAAAAATGATATTATTTAATATTCTAAATAAGAAGTTTGAAATTTTGAGGAAAATTTTTTGAAGTTTCATTCATTTTTGTGAACTTTGTAAAATTTTTATTTCTGTGGTTTCTGTTATTGATCGAACTATATTTTAAAGAAAAATTATTTGAAAATAAATAAATAAACAGGAGTTTCAAACAACATCATTTCGAATTTTACTGCTATTATTTTGACCGCTGCTGTATGTATGTATATAAAAAGCTTAAATTTAATTTACACATGTGTGTCCATCAATTTTTCGCATTAACGTATTTATTTTTCTTAAATTTTTAATATGCTTTTTTTTTTGCCTCGTGTTTGAGATGGATAGAACTTAAAAACAATTATTCTTTTCTTTAAAAGTAATCTCTGTTTCAAAAAAATATACGATATATTTTGAAGAGCGTCTTTTGGAGATGTAAATTTAATTTACATATGTGTGTTCATAAATTTTTCGCATCAACGTATTTATTTTTCTTAAATTATTAATATGCT